CCTGGGCTGGGATCTGTGCCGCCTACAACAGGTCCCTGGAACCCAGAGACGACGAACCCGTTTGTAAATAGTTTGTGGACGCCGTTGAAACCAAGCCATGTTTTGCAAGAGTCCCTGAACCCCTTTGTAGGGGGAAATCCTGTTGGTGTTAACGCAGAAATAAATACAGACCCTTTTGATCTACCTCCACCGTCTCGTCCATTTGTTGGGGAACAAACAGCCCTTCCAAACGAACCTTCACAATGTGTCATTCAGTATATCATTTTGAAGTGATACTTTCTTGTGGAAGCGTCAGCTGGGAGAGTTTAGATTTGCATATAATGTTTCTCTTGCTATTACAGTGTGTTCTAATTTGCACCTGTTCATCAACACTGTCTAATCATAACATATTTTAAAAGATTATGAATCCTGTTGGACAGTTTTCTACCTATCTGTTTTCTCTTACACCTCTCCTGCAAATGTCTCTAGAATTCTGGTTCAGGTACAGATAAATCAAAGTACAGTGGTGCCTTGAGTTATGAACTTAATCCCTTCCGGAAGATGGTTGTAACTCAATTTGGTCATAACTCAAAGCACCATTTCCCATAGGAATACATTGAAACCCCATTAATCCATTCCGGCCAGGAAAAAAAACCCACCAAAAAACACAAAACACTGCAAGACCCATCGGAAACGCAAATAATGTGCTCCAGCCGGAAAAAAACACACACACAACAAACACTGCAAGTCCCATCGGAAATGCAATTAATCTGTTATGGCTGGAAAAACACACATACCGAAAAACAAACAAACAGAAATATGATTCCGTTCCGGCTGGGGGGGGGCACCACTGAAAAACAAACATACAAACACTTCAAGACCTATTGGAAATGCAATTAATCCGTTCCTCCCAGAAAAATAAAACACTGAAAAAAAAACCCACTCTAAGACCCATCACAGCACAGAAACATAACCCCCCTCCAGCCCAAACCCACGCTACAAAACACTTTACTCACTGAGAACAGGCATTTTAAAAAGCAGAAAGCAGTACCACACAGTCCAAAGCCTCTAACAGTCCACACTCTCTAACTGCTGGGGTGAAAGTGCTACAGAGAAGCAGCCTCTTCGCCGACCAACGGTTAGTTTAAAATTACCTGCCTTTTCCCTGCCTTTTTTCCCGTCGCATCTCAAAGCTCCAGTCGCAAGGCAAAGCAAAATTTTGCAGCCAGAGCTGGTCGTAACTCAAATTGGTCACAAATCAAGATGTTTGTAAGTCGAGGCACTACTGTATTGTGTAATAGAGGCTGAAAATTGACTCCCCCACCATGTGTCTTATGCTTGTCTGATGGGAACTGTCATGCTTGCTAAGCATAACAGAATTTCAAGATAATACATAGAACCTGATAGTATTTTTATGATATTGGAATTATACTGTAGAAACTCAATTTACAATTAAACTCTTCATATGAACATTATTGCAACCTTGTAGGTATTGGTAGCTGGAAATTTAAAACCATTATTTACTAACATTTATCTGAAAGAGCCATCAATTATAAATGGTTTTTATTGAATTTAAGACCATTTGGTGTTCTTAAGTTATCTCTTAGTCTTTGTATCATATTACTATATACAGTCACTTAACCAAAATTTTCTATAATCTGATATCAGTTCTAGCATTGGTTGAGAATTGCTTTCTCAGACAGTGAAATTCTATTCTTTACTGTTTTATCATCATTCTTCTTTTCAGATGCCTATCAGTAGTGCATATCTGACATTTGTATTTAATATTTTCATATAAAGGTGACAAAAACTAGTTGAAAGCCAGTATGGTGCAAGCTATATGGAGTTTTGTTTGATGTAAGAGATGCAGAGACTGGTTCCCTTCAGTAGGACAAAAACATACAATTGGCAAAGAATTTGGCAGATTAACTGTGTTAAATGGTATAAGAGGTTAAGAATCCTTCACAGTAAGTGGAAACAAAATTGTTTTTCAGTAATCAGATGTCTTACTGCTTTGTGTTCTCTTTCAGAAATGTCACTAAACTGATAGCACCGCTTGGATGTCTGGCTTCTAGACAAAAGCATACTCTCCCTGATTTACCTTATGATTATGGTGCCTTGCAGCCACATATTAGTGCAGAAATCATGCAGCTTCACCACAGCAAACATCATGCTACATATGTAAATAATCTGAATGTTGCTGAAGAAAAATACAAAGAGGCTTTGGCAAAAGGTACGTGTCACCATCTCTTTTTTCTAGAGCTACTACTATATGCCTGTCACTGTACATTATGGGTTTTGCTTGCACTGATATCAGCACATGGCTTCTTGTTGTGTATTTGTAAAATGCCCAGCTACAGTGCTTTTGTGCCAAGTCCTCAGGTTGTTAAAACGCAAAGGAGCTGAGCTTAAGTGTTCTGCAATGCCAGGGTAGAGTTGGTAAGGGGCAAACTGTGGAGTTGCACCACATGTGGGGTAGCTGCTTGCGTGCCTCTTTTGGATCATTTTAGAAGAGCAGAGTTCTATAAAAGCATGTAGGGCTCAAAGAGTGGTGGTGAAGATGCAGGTAAGCCTCCCACACCAGGAAGTCAGGCAGACTGTTGCCTTTGGAAATTGCCATAGTAGTAATGTAAGTGCAGTCACTCACTGCATCAGGCTTGCAAAGTTTCTGTAATCAGCAGTCCTTATCATGGGGAAGTTGTGCACACGTTCAACTCAATCCATTTATAAATGGTCTTGTGTAACTTCCAGGTAAGAGAGGGAGGTGGAGACAGACTGTATCAAAGCCACCTCTCTTTGAGCCCTGCATGCTTCCAACCTGAATGTGTCTTAAAAGTTTCTGTGTAGGCATTTTTCAGTCTCAAGAGACTGTGATAATGTGCTCTGAATAGAGGACTTGGAACAGCATCTAGTGTGGCTGAGAAGGCCAATTTGAGAGTGACAATCCCTTCCACATTGAAGACAAATACAATCTGTCCCCTGTCCAGCTCCCTGATTTTGCTGGCTTCGGGACTGCCTTTTTGCCTCAGCCTGCTGGACAAGGGTCTCTTCAAATTGGGAGAGGTCGTGCTGCACCGCCTGCCTCCAGGCTGAATGTTCAGATGTCAGGGTTTCCTATCCTGTCTTAAAACTTTAGCAGACTGTAAAAGTGTAGCTGTGTTAAAACTTTAGCAGACTGTAAAAGTGTAGGATACAGTACTGTCTTTGGGGCCATGCTTCTGACTTTGAGTATCTCTTTGGGGCCATGCTTCTGACTTTGAGTATGTGTTTTCAGGTTTGATTATCTCATTGGTTGTCTGCAACTGCCATGTGTTTAATGAGAGGTTGTTCAGGATTGTACCCTAAATTAGCATGTTTAATGGGAGCAACTGATTGTGGTTATTTTTAACAAGATCATTGACTTTAGCTGTCTAGATTAGCCATTTAGAAGCAACATGTTTTTTCAAGAGTTCCAGCATACAACTCCATTAGACCTGGATGGTGCTTTTCTCTAATCGTTCGTACACACTGTGCAGAGGAAACAGAGAAGTGGGTGGAAAGCAGTGCTACTGTCAGTTTAATAATTAAATTGAGACCGGAATGTGGGTTTTGTTTTGTTTTTTTGAACTGGTGGCTGCAATGTAAGCAAATGACTGTCCGCAGCCTTTCTGCTTATTAGACACCAAGGCCAATTCTTAATTGCTGCCAATAGGTAAGTAGTTGAGCAAAGAAGACTGTCCCAATCAGACTACATAAAAGAGAAAATCAGCAGCCAGTAAATCCAGAGCACTTCAGTTATGTTCAGTGTTGCATTCTGTTCTTCATCAAGAGAAAATTCAGCTGCAGCATAGTCCAGGAAAGTTTTTTGAGATCTATAGCAGAGTTTTCAGTAAATAGAAAAGAAGAGAACTAGGGCTATCCCACTGCTGGAAAGCCATGGCTATTTGTCACCTTGTGGCAGTTATTTTGTTTGCATCTCCTCTTTTCTTGATCCAGCTCCATTCTTTACTTCTTTCCTGATACTGTATGTCTTAAATTTAAACTGCATTACCATGGGGTGCAAGAATGCTTAAATGTATTTCCTGAGCAAAAGGTGGTATCTTGAAATAGCTCAGAACTGATTCCCACAGCCATCTAAAGCATGATAGGTAGTTTATTTGGATAGATCTATGTTTATGCTTTGTAGCTATGTTTTTGTTTTTGTTTTTACAAATTGCAGTCCATTTTCTTCAGAACAGTATCATTAATGTTCTCAAGTGATACTGAAGCGTTTCATGCTACGGCTCAGTTTAGCTACTGATCTGAATTATTAAGGTTTTTTTTTTTACAACTTCAGGTGATGTGACTGCTCAGGTGTCTCTTCAACCGGCTCTGAAGTTCAATGGAGGAGGTCATGTTAACCATACTATTTTCTGGACAAATCTTTCTCCTAATGGTGGTGGGGAACCAACAGGTTTGTAGCCAACATGCTTTATTGTGCTGTTTATTAATATTGATATGAATTAAACTAGATTTTCTTGGAGGTTTTACTTAAGTAAGATTACTTTTTGTTTACAGTGCTTGAATAAGTTGCTTTTTAAAAATTATCCAGCTCCCCAGAATCTGCCAGCCACTGGCTGCATTGTTATTGAAATTGTAGTATGAAAAGTAAGATCATAATACCATGCTACTGGCTTGCACTCTGATGAATTATCTTTGAGCACTCATATTTGATGCGGTCTGTGCAAGAAGAGAAAAGTGCTGTAGCAAAACAAGATACGTGTTTTTAGAAAGTTGAACTTCTGGTGAACAGCAGGATTGAGAACTGTGGGCTTAAGCAGCAATCATAGGCACCTTGATTTGAATGTGAAGGTCATACAAGTTGACCTCGATTCTAGAAAGTGAATATGATAACAGAATGCCAGTTCCATTATTTTTAATGTCAATAATGTAAACAAATTTGAAACTATAATCGTAATGGAAAGAATCTGTCCTTTAAAAAAAGACTTACCGTATTTTCCGCCGTATAAGATGACTTTATTTGCCCTGAAAAACATGCCTCCAAGTGGGGGGGTAATTTTATACGCCGGGTGCACCCAGAGTGGGCAGCACGTAGTGCAAGGAGGAAAGAGGAGGAGGAGGAAGAGGAGGTGGCAGATGCAGCGCCTCTTCTGAGGAGGCAGTGGGTGGCTCCAGCTCTCAGGAGCCGCATGGCCCAGCAAGGAAGCAGTATGGAGAGGCGAGCCCAGCCCAGCCCAGGAAGCGGGCAGAGCTCGGTCTCCACCGGCTCAGTCACTTCCTCGACACAGTTGCCCTCCTGGAAAGCAGCAGCAGCAATGCCACCTCCTTCTTCCCTGTGACCTACCAAGTCTCCTCTGGAGCCTGGAGTGGCGGCAGCGCTGGCAATCAGCGGGGCGGGGTGCTGGCTTGTCGCAGGTCCCGTTTGCTTGCCAGCTTCTCTCTTGCTTGCTTGCTAATCTGTTGCAGCTAGCAAGCAAGAGAGAAACTGGCAAGCAAATGGCGCCTGCGACAAGCCAGCGCCACCCCGCTCATCGCCAGTGCCGCCGCCGCGCCGGGCTCCCAAGGAGACTTCCGGAGGCCGGGCGAGTGAGCAGGTGCTAGCCTCTGCCTCGGGCCAGCTGGTAGCCCACCCCAGAAACTTGCTTTAGACTTCCGGAGGCTGGGTGAGCGAGCAGGCGCTGGCTTCTGCCTCGGGCCAGCTGGTAGCCCGCCCCAGAAACTTGCTTTCCTTCTCCTCCCTCTTTGGCCCCTCCGGCAGGGTAAAAGGCAGAGGGAGGGGGTAGTCTTATACGGCGAGTATATAACGAATGCTAGATTTTGAGTGGAAATGTTGGGGTCGTCTTATACACCCAGTCGTCTTATACACCGACAAATACGGTAATACATTTGCCCTTATGCAGCAAATGTATAATCCATGTACGTGCCATATTTTTCCATGTATAAAATGACACTTTTTACTTAAATAATTTGAGAAAAAATTGAGGGTTGTTCTATACATAGAAGGCAGCTCTTTACCCCTGCCTTTTGTGAAGGCACGGGCTTTAGCAAAAAGGAAGGGGAGCCGTGGCTCCCTTCCTTTTTACTAAGCTCTGTGTCTTCTCAAAAGGCAAGAACGCGTAGGGTTTTAGCAAAAAGGAAAGGGAGGTGTTTCTGTCTTCCTTTTTGCTAAGCTTTGACAGCCTCTTTCCTTGCATTTTTCCAAGGCACGGGGTTAGCAAAAAGGAAGCCCTTTGATCCCTGCTTTTTCTAGTTTGGGGTTAGAAAAGGGGGGAGGTCATTTTATACATTGGGTTGTCTTATAAATGGAAAAATATGGTACAGTGGTGCCTCACTTTACAATCGCTCCGTTTAATGATGAAACCGCATTACAATGAACTTTTAGCAATGTTTCCTATGGGGGAATTTCGCTTTGCGATGATCGGTTCCCTGTTTCGGGAACCGATTCTTTGCAAAACGATGATTTTCGGACAGCTGATCGGCGGTTTCAAAATGGCTGCTGGGTAAACAAAATGGCCCCCCGCTGGGCTGCCATATGGAGGATCTTTGCTGGACGGTGAGTTTCCAGCCCATCGGAACGCATTAAACGGGTTTTAATGCGTTTCTATGGTCTTTTAAATTTCGCTTTACGATGTTTTTGCTCTAAGCAATTTCACTGAAATGAATTAACATCGTTAAGCGAGGCACCACTGTAATCAGGTTTCTGCATGCAAGTGTTTGAATGTTGACATGTATAATAACTACTGCTGGTGATGTTTTTTTTCCTGTGTTATTCTTGCTGCTATTTAAAATAATTTACACTGCTTTTAAACTTTACAAAGTTTCCTCTAGGTGGTTTTAAATATTCAAACGTAATGCACTAATACATGTATAATTACTCTTGATTAGAACAGCAGTCATAAAATGTTGCTGAAAATGTTTTTATACTCAATGTAGGGAAAAATCAGAGTGCACCATGGGGACAAAGTTAAGTAGTAACTGTTGCAGTTCTTTAATGCAATATGAATAGACCAGTTAATCAGTAAAGATAAATAAACTGATAAGTAAATATCACCTCTATCCAACTGTAGTCCCAGTTTAGGATTGCTTGGGACTACAGTTCCCAACATCCCCAAGCAGCACTGTCAGTAGTTAGTGAGAATAGGAATTGTAGTTCAAACAGTTGGAGCAAACACATTTAGGGAAGGCTGTATCGAATGCTGTAAAAACAGACAAATCCAGGATCAATGCAGATGTGCTGCTGAAGATGGCCACTTCAGGTAAACAATTACTAATGGAACAGAGAACACACGTTCACTCCAGTGAAACCTTCCTTCCTTTGGTACAGATTCTTCCCTTTCCTTGCATACAGCAATCGTAGTTAAACATTACACTGTCACCAGTGTTAACTGTTTAAGTGATTAGTATGAATCAGGTTTCCTTGTTAATCATCTGCTGCTTATGAAATCTTGGCCGAGTAATTATAAGGGGATCTGAACAGCTTCAATCATCTATGCCCAGGGGGATCCAAACCTTTGACCCTGAGGGCCACATGGGATGCTTTCAACATCTTAGAGGGACAAAGGAAAAGGAACACGCGCATGTTTGTATGCATGCACGCATGCCCTTCTGCACTCACATCCACACGTGGACACACTTCCCACACATGCCCCCCCAGCCCCTGCACGCTGGAAGGCTGTCATACAGAGGATCTGTTCTCAGTCATCCCTCAGTGCAGGACACACAGCAATGGTCTCAAGTTACAGGAAGCCAGATTTCGGTTGAATGTCAGGAAAAATTTCCTAACTGTCAGAGCAGTACGACGGTGGAACCAGTTGCCTCAAGAGCTGGTGACTGCTCCAACACTGGAGGCATTCAAGAGAAACGTAGACAACAACCTGGCAGATATCCTTTGATTTGTATTCCTGCACTGAGCAGGGGGTTTGGACTTGATGGCCTTCTAGGCCCTTTCCAACTTCATGCTTCTGTGTGAAGCGTTATGTGAATGCTTGAGGGAGAAACTGTAAGGGGTAGTCCTGCAAACTGCTTCCATTCAGTTGTGCACAGAATATGTTTTTATTGTTGCATCTCCATCTGCTCTGTTTACTCCTGAAGTAATCTGGAATAGTTTGTTGGGAACTAGGTAGAAAACTAATGAAATATTCTGACTTTTCTTTTAAGGAGAGCTAATGGAAGCCATTAAGCGAGATTTTGGCTCCTTTGCAAATTTCAAGGAAAAGCTGACAGCAGTTTCAGTTGGTGTTCAAGGTTCAGGGTGGGGATGGCTTGGTTATAATAAAGAACAAAGCCGCTTACAGATTGCTGCCTGTTCCAATCAGGATCCCCTTCAAGGAACCACAGGTGAGTTTCTCTCGCTTGACGTTGCCTTAAATGAGAAGATAGTGTGTTTGTCAGTGGTTGGACATCAGAACAACTGCTGAGAAGGACTTTTTCTAGCCCCCACTTTCTTAGCAATTTGGATATGACAGAAAAGTGTGTGTATTTTGCTTGTTGTTTCTGTATTTGTCTGAGCCTTCCTACAAAGGAGGAAAGCCTCTGCTTCTCCTTCCAACAATTTCATTCTGTGCTCACATAACTCCTTGCTGTTTCCCATAATGGGTGAAACCAATGCAATTAGATCAGTTTTGTGAGAATAATTAAACAGAAGAGGAAAGTTAAGAAGTAAATTGTGCAACACATGATAGACATGGTATCTCTAGCCCTAGTTAGAGGCGATGAACAGAACTTATTTGGAATAACGGGCTGGGAAGATTGTTTGATTCTGAAGGCCAGGATGCTCCCACAAAACTAATCCAGCGGGGCAATACAGTGGTGCCTCGTATAACGAGTGCACCGTTGAACGATGAATCCGCATTGCGATGTGGATTTCTCCATCGCTAATGCGAGGGCATGCTTGCATTACGATGGGGGAACAGCTGTTCAGCGGTTCCAAAATGGCCGCCGGAACACAAAAAATGGGTGCTGGTACACCCAAGATGGCCACTGGACTCTCAAAATGGCCACCGGTACAACCAAGATGGCCGCCGGAACACACAAAAATGAACAGAACTTATCTGGAATAATGGGCTGGGAAGATTGTTTGATTTTGAAGGCCAGGATGCTCCCACAAGACTAATCCAGCGGGGCAACACTTAACATTACCGATTGGGAGGAGCAGGAGCAAATATTTGAAAGAAAACAGGAAAGAAAGCAAGAAGACAGGCTGGCTAGCTGGCTGGCTAGCTTTGGAGACAGCCCACCTCTAGAAAGCCTGTGGATGAAGCATGGCAGTTCCCTATCCCTCAGTTTGGGATGCAGAGGATTAGTGGAAAAGGAGGAATACAGTGAAGCTTGGGTGACTTAATTAATCAATTTCAGAGGATGTTTAAATCAGCACCTACAATTACTTCTTGTCTACCTCATACAAGGTTTGTTAAGTGTCTTGTGGCATAGTGGCTAAACTGTACTATTGCAATCAAAACTCTGCTCATGGTTAGTGTTTGATCCCAGCAGCTTCTGGCAGCTGGCTCAAGGCCAACTCAACTTTCCATCCTTCTGAAGTTGGTAAAATGAGTACCCAGCTTGCTGGGGGTGGGGGGGGAGGAGCAATGTATAATTAAATTGTAAACTACCCAAAGAGTGCTTTAAGCACTATGGGGCAGTATGTAAGCAGCACACTTTGCTTTGCTTTTTTGCTTTATCAGTAAAAACAGTCTTCCTCAAACTGGTGCATTTCAGATGTATTGGATTATATCTGGCAGTGGAATATGGGTGTTGTAGTCCAACGCATCTAGAGGGCAGCATGGTGGGAAATACTGATCTAAGTGGCTTTGTTGACTCGCAGTATATTTAAAATTAAGGCCAATAGCTGATTATCAGTGATTTCAATGCTTCACATAAGAAAACAGGAAAGAAAGCAAGAAGACAGGCTGGCTAGCTGGCTGGCTGGCTTTGGAGACAGCCCACCTCTAGAAAGGCTGTGGATGAAGCATGGCAGTTCCCTATCCCTCAGTTTGGGATGCAGAGGATTAGTGGAAAAGAAGGAATACAGTGAAGCTTGGGTGCCTTAATTAATCAATTTCAGAGGATGTTTAAATGAGTACCCAGCTTGCTGGGGGGGAGGAGCAATGTACAGTATAATTAAATTGTAAACTACCCAAAGAGTGCTTTAAGCACTACAGGGCAGTATATAAGCAGCACACTTTGCTTTGCTTTAGGAGCAATGTATAATTAAATTGTAAACTACCCAAAGAGTGCTTTAAGCACTACAGGGCAGTATATAAGCAGCACACTTTGCTTTGCTTTTTTGCTTTATCAGTAAAAACAGTCTTCCTCAAACTGGTGCATTTCAGATGTATTGGATTATATCTGGCAGTGGAATATGGGTGTTGTAGTCCAACGCATCTAGAGGGCAGCATGGTGGGAAATACTGATCTAAGTGGCTTTGTTGACTCGCAGTATATTTAAAATTAAGGCCAATAGCTGATTATCAGTGATTTCAATGCTTCACATAGTGGGGTTCCCAACTAAAAGCAACAGGATCATTAATGATGTTCCAAGTTGATTGTTTAAGAATTATTTTTCCAGTTTAAAGAATTCTTCATCCCTCCATCATTTTGATTAGTTAACCTCCCTGATAGTCAGAGGGAATGCTATAGACACAGTATAACTTGATTTCAGCAAAGCTTTTGACAAAGTGCCCCATGATATCCTGATTAGCAAGCTAACTAGGGTGGGCTGGATAGATCAAGTGTCAGGTAGATAAAGAATTGGCTGTGGAATTGTACTCGGAGCATGATGATTAATGGGTCCTTTTCTAACTGGGAAGAGGTAACAAGTGGGATACCCCAAGGCTCAGTCATGGGCCCGGTGTTCTTCAAATATTTTTATTAATGACTTGGATGAGGAAGTGCAGGGAATGCTTGTCAAATTTGTAGATGATACCAAATTGGGAAGAATAACTAATACCCTAGAAGACAGAAACAAAATTTAAAATGACCTTGATAGGATGGAGCCCTGGGCGGAAAGCAACAGAATGAAATTCAACAGGGAAAAGTGCAGAGTACTGCACCTCAGAAAAAGAAACCAATTTCAGCTACAAGATGGGGGATACCTGGCTCAGCAACATGACGAGCAAGAAGCATCTTGGAATGTTGTAGATCACAAGCTAAACATGAGCCAACAATGTAATTTGGCTACAAAAAAGACAAATGCTATTTTAGGCTGCATTAATAGAAGTATAGTTTCCAAATCCCGTGTGGCACTAATCCCCTTTTATTCATCACTAGATAGGCTTCACCTTGAGTATCATGTGCAGTTCTGGACACCACACTTCAAGGAAAGAAGGATGCTAACAAATTGGAACAAGTTCAGAGGAGGGCAACAAGGATGATCAGGAGGCTGGAAACCAAGCCTTATGAGGAAAGACTGAAAGAATTGGGCATGTTTAGCCTTGAGAAAAGAAGGCTAAGGGGTGATATGATAACACTTTTCAAATATTTGAAAGGCTGTCATGCAGAGGAGGGGCAAGATCTCATCTTGATTATCCCAGAATTCAGGACATGCAACAGTGGGCTCAAGTTAAAGGAAGCCAGATTTAGGCTGAATAGCAGGAAAAACTTCCTAGCTTGTTAGAGCAGTACGACAATGGAACCAGTTACCTTGGGAGTTGGTAAGTGCTCCAACACTGGAGGCGTTCAAGAAAAACTTGGATAATTACCTGGCAGATATGCTTTGATTATATTCCTGCATTGAGCAGGGGGTTGGACATGATGGCGTTGTAGGCCCAACTTGATTCTATGATTTTGATCAGGTAATCTCCCTGATTCTGTGGTTGTTATATATTTTGACTTCAGCAAAGCTTTTGATAAAATTCCCCATGCTGTTCTGATTAGCAAGCTAACTAGGAGTGGGATGAATAGCACAAATATCAGGTGGATCCATACGTGGTTGCAGAATCATACTCTGCTTCTCAGTGGTTCCTTCTCAAAGTGGGAAGAGGTAACAAGCAGGGCACAACAGGCTCGGTTCTGGACCCCGTGTTCTTCAGCCTTTTTTATTAAGACTTGGATGACAAGATGCAGGGAATGCTAATAGCGTAGTCTTCAAATCCCATGAGGTACTCATTCCCCTCTACTCAGCACTGGTTATGCCTTATCTTGTGTACTGTGTCCAGCTCTGGACACTGCACTTTAAGAAGGATGACAACAGATTGGAAAAGGTTCAAAGGAGGGCAGCAAGAATGATCAAGGGACTAGAAACCAATCCCTATGAGGAAAGAATGAAAGAACTGGGCATGTTTAGCTTTGAGGAAAGAAGACTGATTGTAGTTTTCAAATACAGTACTTGAAAAATCATACAGAGGAGCAGCATGATCTGTTCTCGGTCATTCCTGAGTGGAGGACACATAATGAGTTCAAGTTACAGGAAACCAGATTTCACTTGTATATCAGGGAACTTAGAGCAGTGTGACTGTGCAACCAATTACTTCAGCAGATGGTGAGCCCTCCAATATTTGAGGCATTCAAGAGAAAGTTAGACAACCATCTGTCAGATACGCTTCGATTTCGATTCCTGCATTGAGCAGGAGCTCAGACTCAATGGCTTTATAGGTCCCTTCCAGCTCCATTATTTTGTGCTTCTATGAATACAACCTAACCCCTAGCAACTAACAATCCTATCATTCACTTTTTCATTCAGATTTTTCCTATACGCTTCTAAGACCTAAAGCCTTAGAGCCTCATGGCACAGTGGTTAAACTGCTGTACTGCAGCTAAAACTGTGCTCGCGACCCGGGGTTCAATCCCAGGTAGCCGGCTCAAGGTTGACTCAGCCTTCTATCCTTCCGAGATCGGTAAAATGAGTACCCAGCTTGCTGGGGGGGGGGGGCAATGTGTAGCCTGCATAATTAAATTGTAAACCACCCAGAGAGTGCTTGAAGTGCTATGGGGTGGTATATAAGCAGCATGGTTTGCTTTTTTATACCTGGAATTCTTTGTTTTAGGAGAAGTGTGGATCCTCAGTAGCTGGATCATGTACCCAGTATTTACTCAGCATCTTTTCTGCCTGTCCTTCCCCCATTGGGTGTACAGTTGGACAGATATACTAATATAATTGCTTGAAAATGGAATCCTTTGTTAGAAACAGGAAACCACTGGGTACTTAATCCTGTTTGGAAACCAGCATCTTTTCAGGCATATACTATGTGTAGGTCTTTGAACAGACTAGTCATCTAGTCTGATAGTTTGATTCTGTAACTTTTATTTTACATACTTACATAATTTGCTTAAGGTGGTAAAAGGAAGCTATAACATCAAATCGATTAATGAAGCAGTAGGCAGATCTTTCAGGTTGTCTGCAGTCTTATGAATGCTGGACATACAGTCCATCTCAGATCCAAGGAGTTCCAAGGTCCCCGTTGACTCTTTAACCCAGTAGATCAGGTAAACATTACAGTCAAAAATAGAGAATTGCAAACGACTTACAGTCCATCTGAGATCCAAGGAGTTCCAAGGCCCCCGTTGACTCTTTAACCCAGTAGATCAGATTGAGATGTCCAGTGCATGGTCTAGTCAGGCTTTATTGGATCAGTTTCAGTTAGTAAGATCTGAGAATATAGACAAGACACTTGCACACTGTACAGTTATTACCTCTTTTTTTGATCCTTGCCCATCTTCTGCCAAGAATATAATAGTAGAATGGGCCACTCATGTCATCAGTGCATCTCTTCAGGAAGGCCATGTGCTTTCCTATTTAAAAGAAGCTATAATAAGGCTCATTCTTAAGAAAACTAATCTGGCAACGTTTGATTTAAACAATTATGAACCCATCACACATGTTCCGTTTTTGGACAAGTTAGTCAAAAGGGTACAGCAGGTGTTCTTGGAAGAAACTGATTGGATTAGACAGGGGCACTTCCTATTCATAATCAAAAGGGTGCAGCAGGTGTTCTTGGAAGAAACTGATAGTCTGGATTAGACAGGGGCACTTCCTATTCATATCTCAGGGGGTTTGAAAATGACCTGAGGCACAACAGGTGCTGTGGAAGCCCAGTTCCCTGCCCCAGAACCAGACGGGCCACTCACTGGGCTCCACGCGGTGCTGGGGGCCTTCAGCAGCGGCAGCATCATACCATTCCCAGCAGAAGCCCAGCTGGCCTTTCCCTGCCTCCCCAAGATACTAATGCAAAGTACCTGTCTCTAGTCTGGATCCATTCCTGTTGGGGTTTAGGCTGCAGCATGGTACTCAAACACCATTGCTATGGGGTCCCACAGGGGTTGACAGTCTCCTTAATGCTCTTTAATATCTACATCAGCCGCCCCGAGTAGACGCTGTCTAGAGGGGGGTTGACAATCTCCTCAATGCTCTTTAATATCTACATGAAGCTGTTAAGAGATTTGGGGTTCGCTGTCACCAATACATTAATGAGCAGCAGTTATATCTCGCCTTCACTTCATATCTCCTCAATGCTCTTTAATATCTACATGAAGCTGTTAAGAGATTTGGGGTTCGCTGTCACCAATACATTAATGAGCAGCAGTTATATCTCGCCTTCACTTCATCCTGTTAGGAGATTTGGGGTTCACTGTCACCAATACGTTAATGGGCAGCAGTTATATCTCGCCTTCACTTCATCTGCAGATGATGATGTACAGGTACTTGAGCACTGCCTGTGGACTAGACAAAACTGGATCCAGATAAAACAAAATTTCCAGTCTTAGGAAGAGGGAAACATATCTGGCTTTGATGGGGTTATATTCCCCTTGAAAGACTAGGTCTGCAGTTTGGGGTTTTCTAGGACCTGGCACTCTCTATGGAGCCTCAAATATCAACAGTGGCCAGGAGTGCATTCTATGTGGTTCCACCTGGATAACAAATGCTTGGTAATAGTGGTTCATGCATTGGTGATTTGAAAAAAATAGATTACTGTAGTGCTCTCTACATAGGGCTGCCCTTGGAAACTTCAACAAATCCAAAATTCGGCAGCTAGGCTGAGACCTGGGGCGAGTAGGTTTTATTGTATATCCCCAGTCTTTGTGTGGCTTCATTAGCTTCCTCGTATGGAAACTTCAACAGATCCAAAATTCGGCAGCTAGGCTGAGATCTGGGGCGAGTAGGTTTTATTGTATATCCCCAGTCTTTGTGTGGCTTCATTAGCTTCCTGTCAATTTCCCTGTTAAATTCAGTTGAATGGTTTAGGACAGTGTTTTATCAACCTGGGAGTTAGGACCTCCAAGGGGAGGGTGTCAGAGTGTTTTCAGATTTGTGTGTCACGTGTTGCCTTATATGTGTTGCAGCTGTTGTTAAATAATTTCTTCCTTGACTTTCAGAACTGGATATTAAACATGTACAGTGGTGCCCCGCATAGCGTCGATAATCTGTTCCCAAAAAATCATCGCTATACCACATAGGAACACATTAAAACACGTTTAATGCGTTCCTATGGGGAAAAACCTTTAAGTGAAAATCCTCCATCCGGCCGCCATTTTTGCTGCCTGGTAAGCAAGGAATCCGGGCGAAAACACAGCGGGGGACCATTTTATTTACCCGACGGCCATTTTGGATCCCGGTAAGCAAGAAATCCGGGTGAAAACACAGCAGGGGACCATTTTATTTTCCCGGCGGCCATTTTGGAACCGCCGATCAGCTGTTAGAAAACGGGCCGTTTGCGATGATTGGGGGAAGCGATCGTTGCAAATGCCCCATTTTCGCCCCCATCATCGCAAACGCCCCGTTTTCTAACAGCTGATTGGTGGGCCTTTGCTAAGATCATGAAGCCCCGCCCATCAGCTGTGTGTAGTCTATCTTAGATCTCTCTGTGTGCTGTTTTCTGTGCTGCAAGTGAGATGCAGAGCCCAGTTGAGTTTTCAGTCTTGATTTACCGAAGTCCAGCCCATGACACCATTCTTTCTTTCTTTTTGGTGGGTAAGAGGGATCCGAAAACAAAGTCTTGAACCTGCAGCTCAATCTTCTTCCTTCTAAGGGTCAGTTTCCAGAGGGGTAGCAAAAAAGATGGTAGCTTTGGTGACACCAAGAAAATGCAATCCTCCCAGGGATTCTCAAACGGGGTTCCCCCAGATGTTCTTGGACTGCAATTCCCAGAAGCCTTCCCCACTTGCTGTGCTGGCCAGGATTTCTCCAAGTTGCAGCCCAAGAACATCTGGGGATCCCAGTTTGAGAACCACCGGACTAGAGTGCCTGGGCGGGTATCCTAAGTTGTCTGCCTTGTGGGGAATTGGGCCTGGTGGGAGAAGTGCTCCGTCAGAGGAAATGAAATGCGAAAGGTCCACCAAGGGGGCTTCATTAAATGGTTCACACTCTGCAGCAACCCTTCACGAAGCGGCTCACGGCCTCTGAAGGACTGAGCGGAACCCGCCACCACCGCCGGCCTGGGCGCTGCTTTCCCCTTGGACCAAAGGCAGCTCTTTTACGGCTCCTTCGCCGACCCCGACACGGAAGGGACATCAGAAAACGGAAAGAAAGGAAGGGAGGCGACGGAAGAGCCCGCCAGGGGTCCACCGTGAGCCCGGCTTTCTCGGCCCCGCCTCCCACCGGGGCTCGTGATGAACCAGAGAAAAATCTCGCGGGGGGGCACCCCCCTCGGAGCGGGAAGGCGGCGCTTCCTTGGTGCCAGGGGTCCGCTGCGAGCCCGGCTTTCTCAGCCCCGCCTCCCGCCGGGGCTTGTGACGAACCAGAGCAAGATCTCGCAGGGGGGCACTCCCCTTGGAGCGGGAAGGCGGCACTTCCTTGGCGATCTGCTGGCAGCCCGGTGCGCGCCTTCGCCGGCTACAGACTCTCTCCCCCTCCCCCACCGCCCGGCGGGCGCCTCGTGGCTTCGGGGGCACAGCTTTGCCTCGCTTGAATTGCCTTGTGCTGGCAGGGAAGGGAGCGTGCTCGGCATGGCCAGGAAGTGCCCAGCGAGCTGGCAGCCGCTGCCGCCACCGAGCAAGCGACTCATGCGGGAGGAGGCGACAGCAGCCTCTCCCGAGCAGCGAGAGGGTGAGTGCGGGGAGAAAGCGCTTGGATCTCCCTCTCTCTCTCTCTTACACACGCACACGTGTGCAAAGGGCTGTTGCTGGTCCTGGTATAAGCATCGCGCGGGGGCCGAGATGAGGATTCAATGCACCCGCCGGCTGACCTGGCCATTTGCAACGATCGCTTCCCCCCCATCATCGCAAACGCCATGTTTTCGCACAGATCGCTCAGCCTGGCCGATCAGCTGTGCAAGAATGGGGTGTTTGTGATGATGGGGGGGGAAGCGATTGTCACAAAGCGAGTTTTCCCCATAGGGAACATTGCAATGCAATTGCAAAAGCGATCGCAAAATCTTCTTCGCTATGCGGATTCATCGTTAAACGGAGCACCCGTTAAGCGAGGCACCACTGTATATGTATGAGAAACTAGTCCCTGCAGGAGAAAGAAGCTTCTTCTTTCTGAGAAGGGATGACTTTACCCTATTAAAAAGGCCTTTTTATGCGAACGTGGTGGTTGGGGTACCACAAGTTTCTTGGCTATTATAAAAAGGGGGATGCAACTTGAAAAAGGTTGGGAACCTCTGCTTTAAGACATCAATACTTGTCAGAACACTTCTCTCAGAAATCAGCTACCTGTTTCACCTGCTGCTCTCAGTCCATGATGCTAAAAGTAGCCACACTGAGGAAGGCCAGAAAGATGATGACATGGAATCAGACTTTTTTGGTGGTGTCCTCCAGTCTTTGGAACAAGCTTCCAGCTGAGATACTACAGGCTTCTTCCCTCCAGATATTCAGGAAATGAATGAAAACAGAATTATACAAAGCTCTCTTCCATAGCTTATCCCCTAGATGCTTTCAATATAATTCCCCCCCTTTCTTTCTTTTTGTATAAATTTTAGATCTACTGTATACTGATGAACTGCCATATTGATGCCATTATTTTGTGGGATTTTATGGGATTCTAAATTTTAATCTCTGAAGCTGCCATGAGTAGTGTTCCACTAGAGGGCGGTATAACAGTCAAATATTTGACATTTTTCTCAAGGAGCGGTGGTGGGTACTGTAACAACTAATTTAAGTGTCATAATACTTCAGCTATATACTGTATTTCTTTTCCTTTCTAGGTCTCATCCCCTTACTCGGAATTGATGTATGGGAACATGCATATTATCTTCAGTATAAAAACGTTAGGCCTGACTATCTCAAAGCTATCTGGAATGTGATCAACTGGGAAAATGTATCTTCAAGATATGCAGCTGGGAAGAAATAGAGCTGAATTCTTGTACAGACTTGAACCTTTGGTGTTCCTCAAATCATTTTTCTATTAATGCCTAATAGCTTGCTTGCTAATTGCTGCAGTACTGAAAATATGATACCACACTAAGCAAAACTGTTCTCAAGTTCACAGGGTTTTCTTTATGTGATAAAAGGGTAGTTCTTGAAAGTACTAATCTGATATTGAAAAACAGGCACTCTTCATGAGCTACTGTGAAATGCAACTCTTTTGAAACATCTGGATAGAATTACAGACTTCCTCACGGTAGCAGGTGGATTTAGCAGTGCTTTCAAGTGTGATTTTAAGCTGCAAACACATCCTGGGCATACCAAAGTCAGGGGAAAAGTTTGAGAAATAACAGTGCGTCAGTAGCATTTTTTAGACTAGGTTATATGTCAGAGTGTAATGCACTTGAGTAAAAGGCAGTCTTACAATCTTCATAATTAGAGATGTTTGGCAGATGCTTGTTCATTACAAAATTAGGATTCCTAACGTGGCTCACAACTTTGAATGGTCGTGGGTTAGCTTTCATGAAATTTCCTCTCAGAAGAGAAAAGTCAAAGCCAGAAAGAGATATTGCATCAAATTTGCATCAAATGTACATGTGCTTAGTGTGCGTGTATGTTCATCTGTGTATTTTTGGTGGGAAATACTGCTTCTGTAATATATTGCAACCAACGGGGGTGCTTAGTGTGCGTGTATGTTCATCTTCTGTGTATTTTTGGTGGGAAATCCTGCTTCTGTAATATATTGCAACCAACGGGTGATAATCGAATTGTGTCTTGATATTGATCTAGATGGCTTGTTTTTTGCACTACATTATTTGATTAGAAATACATGATTGGTTATCAGAATAAAAGTTGAAACTGACTCTGCCAAGTTATTAAATAAGAATATGATTTTAATTGTAATAAAGCATTTAAGGCCTTTAAATATTACATGATAGGGATAATAACCCAGCCAAAATGTCTAGGAACATTGTCTTTTATTCATTTCTCAGATGCCTTATAAGAGTTCGCTATGAGACAGTTATGGCTGAATTTGACTATACATCATAAAGAGCAGTTTTTCATTTTGGAATCAAGCCAGCAGTCAGTGTAAGTGTATGAAGGATAACGTCCACCTTGGAAAGTGCTTCATTACAGACACCTGTGGTTTTGATAATTACATATTCTGACATCTGATCCGATCTACAGCTATCAGTTAAAAATGGTAATGTAAAATCAGTTTTTTATGAGAACCTGAGATTAAGATACAGTACTTGCTATATTGTATTGTATCTTAATCTTAGGTTCATATTGGGCCTGGCGTGTTCTGGTCCATGGGGTCACGAAGAGTTGGACACGACTAAACAACTAAACAACAACTTGCTATATTTGGTCCGGATGAATGCTCAGGTAGCTTGTTCTTTCAGTTCAATAACTTACACAAAAACAGGTGTATAACTGGACAAGTTACTATGACTGAGTGACTCTTAATATTTGCCATTGGTATGTGGAAAGGTCCATTTGTTAAGGATCAAAGATTCAGAGCTCAATCCTGCATAAAAGATATGTGTGTAGCTAATAATTTTGTGTAGGTGCCTGTTTTGACTTGAAAAGCAGTTTGTGGTGAGGTGAAGAAATTCAGTTCAAAATTAGTGATGGTGGGGATTCAAAGGACAAGGAGGATATAAAGGTACTGGTGTTAAATGTCACACTGCCTTAAAACACTAAATCAGATTGCTAGTTCCAGCTATAGTAAATTATATGATTCTATGGGATTTCTATGGGCCTGGCATGCTCTAGTCCATGGGGTCACGAAGAATTGGACACGACTAAACAGCAACATGGGATTTGTAAGCCAGTGCTAATGAAAGTGTTATTGATTCACTGGCTCTGCTCTGGTTGAGATTTAGACCAAGACTTGTTGCTTTATTTTAAGAACGTTTAAGCTATATTTTCCCCAAGTTAAAGGAACAAAGGAGAGGTTGATTGGAAGAGAATACTCTTATATCTAGTTTTTCCATTGAATTCTCAGCTAGCAACTATGCTATGGAGTCCTAATTTAGCAATTTTGGTTTGAGCTTCACTTAGACATTTTAATGGAAGTGATTACAGAGAGTCCATTTTATAATAGTACAATATCTGTCTTCAGAGCTCAACATCTGTCATTCATTTTGTGTCTGCAAATACTTCGGAAACTACAGGTGGCCCATAAGAATATGGGTAGAGCCATGGTGGATCATACTAAAGCCCTTTCCAGCTTGCCAGTCCTTTTCCCGTAGTGGTCATACAGGTGTACATCCTCATCTTAGTTTTTCTTCTCCAGGAAACTAACAGATCCATAGTATATTAACAGTGGGTAAGGTGGAGTGATAATTCACTTTAAACTTCTCAAGTCCAACAGGTTTGTTTCTAAACTTTTTTTCTATGAAACCTGGAATAGGAAAGTGATTTGTATTCCTGCACTGAGCAGGGGGTTGAACTCAGTGGCCTTATAGGCCCCTTCCAACTTCACGATTCTATGAAAGCATTTGCCCTCTTCCTAATGTCTGGAGTGTTAGTTGTGCTGTCTGATCCTGTCAGGCTGAACGCTCAGAGTGCTCAGCCTGGAGGCAGGCGGTGCAGCATGACCTCTCCCAATTTGAAGAGACCCTTGTCCAGTAGGCCGAGGCAAAGAGGCAGTCCCGAAAGCAGCAAAATCAGGGAGCTGGACAGGGGACAGACTGTATTTCTCTTCAGTGTGGAAGGGATTGTCACTCTCAAATGGGCCTTCTCAGCCACACTAGACGCTGTTCCAAGTCCTCCATACAGAGCATGTTACCATAGTCTCTTGAGACTGAAGGATGCCTAACTGATCCTATGTACATTCACAGAAGAGAAAAAAAGGTTGATTTACTTGTAAACCAAGAAGTTAGTGCAGAAGCTCTGCACTCAGAAGTAGAAATTCAGATCATAGATGAGTTGCCCTCTCTCTATACATTGTCCCTCCACACTCCATGAGTTTCCATGAGAGTTGCCCTCTCTCTATACATTGTTGTCCCTCCACACTCCATGAGTTTCCATGGCTAAGCAGGGATTCAAACTCAGTTCTCCTGAGCCGTAGTCTTTCACTCTAACATCTACTTCCTACCATAACCACTCACAAAAGAGAGTTGCCATCTAAGTTTCTTGTCTTAAAGAGAATGTCCTGCATACTGAGTTTCCATGAAAATAAGACAGGGTCTTCTATTAATTTTTGCTCCAAAAATGCATTAGGGCTTATTTTCGGGGGATGTTTTATTTTACAGTCATGTCATCTTCTGGTTGCTGCACAGTGGTGGAGGGCGGGGTTTCACTTAACGGGCTTTATTTTGGGGGTAGGGCTTATACGTATTACAAGCATCCTAAAAAAATCATACTAGGGCTTATTTTCAGGTTAGGTCTTATTTTTGGGGAAACGGGGTAATAATACAATTGATAGACTGCTTAAAGACTGCCCTGTGCCTTGTGATAGAAGAGCCAACCTGTGTGTTCGCATGCTAAACATTTCCAGAGTACCACCAGAAGACAGGACTGAAGTCGTCCACTTCTGAGTATTTTATGCCTCAGAAATCCTGGTAACAGTTATAAGTAAGAGTCTGCTTGATGGGACATTATTGTTATTATTAATTTTAAAAGTCCAGTGTTACCTTTGGGTGTTATGCAAATGTCCTGCAGATGCAGAGAAACCATTTTGACTTGTATGTGAAAGCTCACATTAAAATGTAGTTAGTCTTTAAGGTGCCACAATATTTTTGTCTCTTTTTTTGTTTGGTTTTGCATGAAGTGGCTAAATAATTGAGAAATTCTTCTGATTCTACCAACCGAGGAGAACAAAGAGTGGTTTTTGGGTGGGGGGGTTGGTTTTGCCTGAAGTGGCGAAGTAATTGAGAAATTCTTCTCATTCTACCAACCGAGGAGAACAAAGAGTGGCAGCATTGTATGCACTGCCACCATCAGCTAGTGAAGGAGAAAGAAAGGGAAAAGGAGGACTTGAAAACCATTTATGTCCCAACGAGCAAAATGCTGGGTCCTGTAATTTAGCACTTCTATAAATACATGTTATTATGTACTGTAAGAGCCTCATGGTATTGTGGTTCAGTGGGCTCAGGTAGCCAGCTGAAGGTTGACTCAGTCTTTCAACCTTCTGAGGTTGGTAAACTGAGTGCCTGGCCAATGGGGTGTGGGGGTGGAATGTGGGTGTGTATAAGTGCTTTAAGCACTATAGAGAGTGTAGCGAACACCCTGTTCTTCCAATGGGATGTGGGGGTGGAATGTGGGTGTGTATAGTGCTTTAAGCGCTATAATAGAGAGTGTAGCGAACACCCTGTTCTTCCTATATATAAAATGATATTGGCCTGCACCAATGGGAGCTGTTGGGAGGTGGAGCCAGAGAAACTAGAAGTCAGAGTCTAGCCAGTTCAGTGAGAGACAGAGAAGAGAGAAAAAGTTCAGGGGTTTGAGGCAGAGAGTGTTTAAGGAGTGATTAGTCAGAGTGTGACCGGTATTAATTCAAATAGAAGAGGTTAAAGTAAAATACCACAGCTTTGAGTAACTTTAAGAATGTGCTTAAGAACTAGTCCTATAAGCAGCACGCTTTTTGCTTTGCTTTAAAACAACTTGTAATCAATAAACCTGTTTCTCTTTAAAAGTTCAGTACTGAATAGACCTCAGTCTTTATAGGAAATAAAGAGATCAAGTGGTGGCTGTGTGTTAAAGGGCGTGATGGGATACTTGGGTGAGCTCTGTGTTTGGTAAAATAAGCAGGGGCCACAGGGTAAATGCCACAGAGAGGTATATAAACAGCACACCTTGCTTTATATTAAAATGTTAAGATTAAATTTCCAAATTATCCAGCAGGTGGTGCTTCTGTACCATAGTGGCAAACACCACTTGGCTAAAGCATCAGTGTTGTAACACCTTCAGGGATAAAACATAATGATGTAAGCTTTTGTGGACCAGAGACCATTTCATTAAATGTATGGATTATCATCTTGACAGATACATACCCATGAGTGTACAGAAAGTCAGGAAAAGCAATCTTAGCAGTGAGCTCAGAGGAGGAGTGAAACAAGCACCACAGACAATGATAATTAAGTTAAAGCTTAGATCATACATTAGTCATAGCAATGGTTCACAAACTAGTGTTGATAAACTGCAGAGCAGTTGTACCTTGGTTTGGTAGAGAAACCCGCCATAGAGTCGTGAATATACAAAATATATACAGTATAGTTATCTCATATATATATAGTTCTAGGACATCTTGATTCTCTGATTATATTCCTGGCATATATTCAGAAGAAATATAACATGGTCACCTTTCTGAATTAAAGCACATCTGGCCTGGACAAAAATTCTATGGGAAATTTTGTTAAACTTATAAACATCTTGAATTGCATTGTAGAAAACGTGAGATATTATATTACATCACTTGGCAGCCGTTTGGTCCTAGGAAAAGGTGTATATTTTTCTAAACCATACTGTGCTGCAGAGTGGCTTAAGGCCACAGCTGCTGAGGACTTGCATCATGTACCACCAGTTTTTGGACTCTTTTGTACAATTTTTTTGCACCCTCCATGTGCTGAGCCTGAAGAAGTGGGGTATTCTCCAGAAAAGCTTTCAATTTATTTGATTTTTAGTAGTCCAGTAACAAGTATCGCCCAGTCTTTTACATGTT